AAGGCCCCCAAGAGGCCTCAAGAGACCTCCGAGAGGCGTCCCGAGAGAGCTCGAAGAGGCCCAGATCCTTGATTCCCATTTTTTATTTTTTTTGGTGTCTCGCGCTTTCGATTTTTTTGACGCTCCACGACGGCCGACGACGGCCCCAAGACCGCCCCGAAACCGCCGAAGAGGCCCCCAACAGAGCCTCAAGACCCAAGGCGGCCCCAGATAGCCCGAAAATTGCCCTGGACGACCCCAGAATGCCCAAGAAAACCTCAGGACAGCCCCAAGCTGGGCCCAAGAGCGGGAGCGGGAGGCCCCAAGGCGCTCCAAGATGGCCCTGATGGCCCCAACGTGGCCCCCGATGGGCCCGACACTGCCAATACACAGCCCAAGAGCCTTGCAAGAGGCCGCAAGAAAGCTCCGAGAGGCGTCCCGAGAGAGCCCGAAGAGGGCCATATCCTTGATTGCTGGTGGTTTTTCAAATGTTTGTCGCTTTCTCGCCTTCTCGAGCTTCCAGAGCTCCAAGACGGCCGAAGATGCCGAAGGTCGCCCCAAGACCGCCGAAGAGGCCCCCAAAAGAGTCCAAAGACGACCCCAGAGAGCCTGAAGAGTGCCTAAGAGCAGCCCAAAACTGTCCAAGAGCATCCCAGGAGAGGCACAAGATTGGCCCCAGAGCGGGAGCGGGAGGCCCCAGGGCGCTCCAGGACAGCCGAGATGATTCCAACGTGGCCCAAGAGGAGATCAAGACGGCAACACACACAGCCCAAAAGGCCTCCAAGAGGGTCCAAGAGAGCTCCGAGAGACGTCCCGAGAGAGCCCAAAGAGGGCCAAATCATTGACCTGCATTGGTTTGTTAGATGTTTTACGCTTTCTCGCGTTCTCGAGCTTCCAATGCTCGAAGACGGCCGCAGACGCCCCCAAGACCGCCCCGAGACCGCCGAAGAGGCACCCAAAAGAGCCCCAAGATGGCCCCAGGGAGTCCGAAAATAGTCCAGGAGGAGCCCCAGATGGCCCAAGATAACCCCAGGACAGGTCCAAGCTGGGCCACAGTGCGGGAGCGAGAGGTCCCTCCAAGACGGCCCAGATGGCCCGGGCCTCCCCCCTCCGTCCCTCCTTCCTTCCCTCCCCCTTCCCTTGCCTCTATTCCCTCCCCTCACCCATCAGCTTTCGTGCTCGTCCCTCTCCTGGGACAGCCCCGCCAGAGCGCCAGACAGGCCCCGCCAGAGCCAGCGGTGCATCGCTATACCCTATCATTTGACAAGGTGTTTCCCCCCTTCCACCCTTCAAGGGCGACCCCGGCAGAGCGAGAGCGTTCTGACTACGCGTTTCTCTGCGTCGATGGCATGGGCCCGAGAACGCTGGAAATCGTCGTTGTGACCACAGCGGGGCTTACAGCGGCACCCGTGCCTTATATGCGACTAGAGCCTAAGCGCGCGTAGTGAGCGCGTGTTTTTAGTATGTATGTATATATATACACACACGACCGCCCTGTGGGCGACAAGGAGGTTGGGTGCGGGATTGAGATCAAATGCCCACCCTGAGTGACCTCCAGCCTGTCACTTTGATCTCATCTCTCTGTGGAAGAGATGGATTGGATAAGATAAGGTGGGTTGGATTTGAAGAGATGGGTTCGCTAAGATAAGATGTATTTGCCCGTCGCAGGCGCAGAAACAATTGAATTGATAGATTGGGTTGGACGGATTGGATTGGGTGGGATTGGATAAGATGGGACAAGATGGGTTGGATCAGATAAGATGGATTGGATTGGACAAGGTAAGTTGGATTGGAAAAGAAAGCCCGCCGCAGGCGCCGACAGAAATGAATTGGTGGATTGGGTTGGGTGGATTGGATTGGATGGGATAAGATGGATTCCATCAGATAAGATGGGTTGGATTGGAAGAGTTGGATTTGATAAGATAAGATGGATTGGATTTGCCCGCCGCAGGCGCAGAAACAAATGAATTGATGGATTGGGTTGGGTGGATTGCATCGGGTGGGATTATTTGAGATGGGACAAGATGGGTTGGATAAGATAAGATGGGTTGGATTGGACAGTATGGATTTGATAAGATAAGCTGGATTGGATAAGACAGCCCGCCGCAGGCGCCGAAAAAAAAAATGAAATCAGCGACATGCGATAGCGCCGGGACGCCCGGGACACCCGGGACATCCGGGACACCGCCCGGCCCAACTGGGACACCTCCCGGCCACCGGCGGACGGGAAACGGACTTTCGCTCCTACTGACACCCGGGACACCCCGGACACCGCCCGGCCCAACTGGGACACCTCCCGGCCACCGGCGGTCTGGGAACGGACTTTCGCTCCTACTCCGGCTTAGCTACAGGAGGATCACGCGCAGCTTCGCCTCGCCCGCACGCACGACGCGAACACGAAACCGAAACCGATTTCCCGGTGGGGGGTCTCCGTTTCACTGCGATCTCACCCCCCAACCTCCGATATATACATATTTGTACGACCACCCTTCTGGTGATAAGGAGGTTGTGGGGGGGGGAGGGGGGGGGAACCAACATCTGACTCAATCGATCTCATTATCGATCTCACTCAACGGGACACCACTGGACACCACGGGACTCTTGTCGACCTCACTATCGATCTCGCTCAACGGGACACCACGGGACACCACGGGACATTTGTCGATCTCACTATCGATCTCATTCAACGGGCCACCACGGGACACCACGGGACACCGCGGGACACCTGTCGATCTCACCATCGGTCTCACCATCGATATCTTTATCGATTTTATTCAACGGGACACCACAGGACACCACGGGACACCTCGGGACACCTCGGGACACCACATCGATTTCACGATCGATCTCAATATCGAGCTCATTCAATGGGACACCGCGGGACACCACGGACACTTGTCGATCTCACTATCGATCTCACTATCGATCTCACTTTTTGGGATACCACGAGACACCTCGGGGCACCACATCGATCTCAGTATCGATATCACTATCGATATCACTATCGATTTCACCATTGATCTCACTATCGATCTCAGTATCGACACCACGGGACACCACGGGACACCACGGAACACCGCCCGGCCCACCACGGGCCACCACGGGACACCACGGGACTTTGTCTGGCCCGGGACACCACGGGCCACCACGGGACACCCGGGACACCGCCATGCCCAACCGGCCACCGGCGGACGGGCACCGGGACTTTCGTTCATATTTCGGCCTAGCTACAGGAGGATCACGCGCAGCTTCGCCTCGCCCGCACGCGCGACACGAACACGAAACCGAAACCGATTTCCCGGTGGGGGGTCTCCAGTTCAATGCGATCTCACCCCCCAACATCCGTTACACAATGTATGATATGTATGTATCTATATATGTATATAGGTGTTGCCGCTAGCTTGGTTCGACACGTAGGCCCCCGCCCCCCTCTGCTCTGCGGCCCCACGTTCCCGCTCAAGAGGCCCGTCTGCCCGTCAGGGCCCAGGCGTTTGCTTATTTATGTGCCCCCCCGCCTGCACGGACTCTGGCGATTTTCTGGCGGGAGGGTCGGGCTCTCGCAATTTTTCCGCGGGAGGGTGGGACGCAGTCGAAGTTTGCTCGGGAGGCTCGAACTCGTCTGCGGGAGGGCTGATCTCTCGCGAATTTCTGTTGCGGGAGGTCCTGACTCTCGCGAGATGTCTGTCTGCCCTGGGTGCCCACTGGCCGCCCGGACCGCCAGGGCGTGCTCCGCCTCGCCCGTCGTGCGGGCCCGCGCTGGCCTTGCGGGCAGGGCTCCAGGCTCCGATGCTCGACGGCTCGCAAGAAAGGGCCCTCGAGCATCGGGAGCCTGGGGCTGCAGGCCTTGGGAAGGCATGTCATGGCGCCGACATCGCAGAGCGGATCTCGCTCGGAAACCAATGAGGTGGGCCCAGATTGTCCTTGAGAGTGTCGTTCCAGATTTCGAGGTGAATTTCGTGCGGATGTTTTTTGGCCAGGAATGAAGACCAGGAACAACCCACGCGAAATTCACTTCGTGTTTCACTCGCCGCTTCTGGGTTGTGCACTGGAAGGGATCCGCGCAACAAAATCCGCTGCAGCACGTCTGCAAGGCCGGCGCAGTGAGGCACGAGGAGAGCTCGGGAGCCCACCGCCGCGCCCACTGCGCCAGGCCAGGCTGGTCCGCGAGGGCCCCGCGGCCCGAGGCGGGGGCCAGGCTTCCCCTCGCCGTGCCCGGGCATCCGCCGTCGTGTCCTGCCAGTGTGCGTGCGCAAGGAGCGCTCTCCCGCGGCCGTTGCTGCTCGGCGCTGCGTGCCCCACGTCGCCGCTGACGCGAGGTCTTTGCTGCGTGGCCAGCCTGGACCCCTGGACGCGTCTCTGGGCATGGGGTGCCGTCGTGCGCTGCTCTTGGCGATCGGGGCCCGGGGGCGGGCCCACGTGGCCGAACATTGTGAACAGCATTCCGCCTTGGTTTGTGCCAGGGCCACGGACGTCTGGCTTATCACGGTCAAGAGCTTTCGCTTAGCGTGTCGCTCCGCCGGCTCTGGCCCACCACGCTTCGGCGCGACACACTGCCCGTTTCCCTGTATCCAGGCGTTAGCGTCCCGAGTTTCTCTTGTCTTCCCGTCCCGCGAGGCGGAGCGACACGCTATCCGGTTGCAGGGCATGGCCTGTCACCGGGGCCGCCGCAGCGACACGCTTAGCAAACGCTCCCGACCGCAGCCCTTGCGGTGAGTGCCGTGGGCCCCCCGCGCATGAGTGGTGAGGAGCAGGCGGTAGCTTCATCCTCCTCCTTCTCCTCCTCCTGCCTCTCCTCCTCCTCGTCCTCCTCTTCCTCCTCCTCCTCCTCCTCCTCCTCCTCCTCCTCCTCCTCCCGGTGCCGCCGCCCGCGGTGCCGACCGTGTAGCCTCCGTGGTGGGTGCCGTGGGCCCCCCAGGAAGGCCACGGCGCGCACCGCGGAGTGCTGCCCTGGTGTCGCGGGCTTGGCGGCGCGCCCCGGGCAGGGCCTGACCGGCCTCTGCCCCAGCGCGCGCCCCCGCGAGGACGGCCGCGGTGGCGGTGCGGGCGCTCCTCCACGAGCCGCGGGCGGCCGCGAGGCCAGCGGCGCGGGGGCCCCTCCGTCGAACTCGGCCTCGGGGGCCGGGGGGGGGGCGCCAGCTGGAGATGTTCGGGAGCCCTGAGACGGGAGCCACTGCAAGCCTTAAGTCGGGCATGTCCCTGTATAGGAGGAGTATTCAAAATAGTATACAAAAATAATATGGGGACGATTTTCCTTTTATGTCTGACTATGTTCGAATACGTGATGACTATTTCGTGTTGTTCTTTCAAACTCCGCCTGTAGGAGGGCATGCCCGACCGAAATCTCGGGGGCCGGGGGGTGGGGCGACAGCTGGAGATGTTCGGAGCCTTGAGGCGGGAGTCGCTGCAAGCGGGGGTCAGCCAGGGGCGCTGGAGCTCGCAGGATCCTGCAGGGCCAGGGCTGCATGGACCCAGGCCTGCGCGAAGGATGCTGCAGGATCTTACAGGATCCTGCAGAGGTTGACTGAGATGGGCTTGCAGTGGCCCGGGTCAGTGCGTCCCCGAGAGTCACCAGTCGAATCCGAGGCCCAGCCCCCGCCCTCGAGAATTTAGAACAATTTTGCCCCATTGATGTTCAGGCCGTCTCTTGATTCGGAGGCGGTGCACCCTGTGCTTTTATCTGCCCGTGTCTTGATTGTTTTCGCAAGTCCCAGGTGGTGTTGCGAGCGGGCCTCAGTGTAGTTCGACCAATACGGGCGTCTGATATAATGGTTGCCGCTGCGCGCATTTCTATTCCAGGACCACGCAACGGAGGGTCGACGTGGGTTTCTCGTGGAGAAGAAAACGGGCCAGGAGAGGAAACAAACGAAGGGTCCACACAAGAGGTTTTATTCACTAGGCAATAGTTGTTTGGTTGATTTAAGTTACACATTCTCTTCGTGGAAAGACTTTTACGAGTGAGTATATACTGCAAATCGTTATGGTACCAATGTATTGTTTAATCAGACTCGTTTTTCAGACAAGTCATTTCTAAACTCGGCGCCGCCGTGGGATCTGATGACCTCGTAGCCGCGGTAGGGCGCACGGCAGTGGGCTCAACTGGGGAGGGGGCAAAGACGTAATCGGTGAGTGATCGGCTCGCAGATAATTGCAAACTTCACTCGCGTTCGCAGCCAGGAGTGAATGCGCGGCTTGCGCATCGCCATTGCAGGCGTGCTCTACGCAACGGTGCGGATCGAGACGTACTTTTCCAAATGAGTCCGAAATTGCTTCAAAAGCGGGGTAGGGCTTCTGAGTTCATTGGTTCGAGAGTTTTCTGTTTATCCTCTATGGCGCGTGACGGTCGCACCCCTGCCAGACCCTCCCCCCAGCCGGCAACGGTAACAATCGCACGTGGGACGTAAGGGGGGGTGGGGGGGCTGGACCCCAACGCCCGCGCGCGCATACGATGGTGATTGCAGCGCCCCCCCCCGCCCCGACGCGCCGTTGAAATAGCGCGAGAAAACATATCTCGCACCCCTGCGCGGACGACCTGTACGCACCGCGCCGCGCCGGCGCCGACGCTCCTCGGCGTCCCAGGCACGGCAGCGCATGGTGTTTGCTCGGCCCTCTTCGCCGAGCAGCTGTTGTGATAGCTTAGCAGTCATTGCATGACTTCGCAGGTTATCAGGGCGCTGTCAGATCTTAGCAAGGCTAGCCGGCGTCAGCAAATACTGGCAGGTCCCAGGAGGGCATGTCAGGGGCTAGCAGGGCTTGGCAGGGCTTGTCAACGCTCAGCTGGGCCAGCTAGGTGGCTAGCAGAACTTCTCATGGCTTAGTATGGGGCCGCAGTGCTTAGCAGGGCTTGGATAGGCCTAGCAGGGCTTAGCAGGGGCCAGCAGGGCTTAGCACGGCATCGCACTGGCTAGTCACAGGTGGCTCCAAGTATCTTGGGTTCTACTAGAGGCGGCCCCATTCCCCACAGGACTCAAATGGAGGTGGGTCCTCCTCCAACGAAGTGAGGTTCCAGTTGGTTTCGTTGTTGATCGGTTTCTGGTGGAGGGGGGGGTCCAATTCGATTGGGATTCTAGTAGGTGCGGGCCTACATTTCATGGGTGTTTGGTTGTACGCGTGGAGCCATCCCACCGCTAATGGGATTATAAGAAATGTGGGTATTTCCTTGATCGTGTTTTCATTACGGGTTGCTTTATAATTCATCGGATTCTTTTAGAGTCGGTCCACACTTGACTTGATTATATTAGGAATGGGCTTGCCCGAATATCGGATTACATTAGAGGTGGCCCCGTCCTTGATCTGACGCTATTGCAGGTGGTTCCAACCTTGCTAAGGTCCTGTTCGCAGCGGGGTCGTCCTTGACGGGATGTATTCACAACTGGCTCCATCCCTGATCGGGCTTTATTCGAGGTGGTGCCATACCTCCTACAGTTGTATCCAAGGTGGGTCCACCCCTCTTCGGACGCTGTTACAGGTCGTTCAATCCCTAAGCGGATTTCGTTACAAGGTGCAACATCACCAGTGGGATTACGTTCGTGGAGGCACCATCCCAAATCGGATACTTTTAGAGGTTGCCCCACCCCCACTAGGATCCAATCAGAGGTGTATCTATTTTTCAAGTGGCCCAATATTTGACCGGATTATGTTAGTCTCGAATCCACATGTAATAGAATACGGTTCGAGGTGGGCGAATCTCTGTTAAGATTATATTCGATGTGGGCCCATCCTGAGCAGGATTCCGTCGGAGCGGTAACCAAATCTCACAGGGTCTTATCAGAGGTGATTCCGCTCCTGATGGGATTAGATGAGAGGTGGTTCCACTTGTATTGGGATTCCATTCGACGTGGATCAACTTTTAATCGGATTGTGTTACAGGTGGCCCCATTTTAACAGGATCCTGGTAGAGGTGGGACCAGCTCGGTTCGGATTTTCTTAGAGGTGAATCCATCCGTTATAAGTTGTTGGCACGGATGGTTTTACAACATTGGGGTCCGTTAGAGGTGAACCCATCTTCTTTGGGATTTGTTTAGAGATGGGTCCAGTCAGAAAGAGAGAGAGAGAGAGAGACAAAGAGAGGGAGAGAGCGAGAAACTGAGGGAGAGAAATAGAGAGAGAGAGAGAGAGAAAAAGGGGGATATAAACAGAGAGAAAAATGGAGAGAGAGAGAGAGAGAGACAGCAACAAAAAGTCTTCAAATAGTCCCACATCACCCCTTCACGGGCAAGGGGGAAAAAGCGGTGAACCTTTGGTGCCCTGAAATGGGCCTTCTGAGGGGCCCAAAGCGAGCATGAAAGGTTCACGTTTCTCCTCCCTTGTGTATCGCCCCCTTTCAGAGAGCAAGTCCCGCCATCGCCGACGCATTGGCGACAAAGTGTGTCCCGGGCAAAAGGTCTCCCGACCAGCAGAGATCCTGCGGGCGCGTGGCGGCCCTAGCAGAGGCCACTGCCCGCGCCAGTCGGCAGGTGTGTGCGACGTCCGATCAGATCACCATTGCATCGTTCTCTACCGCTGACGTATCGGCTCAGGTGTCGGTACAACGTGCCGCGTTGCCTCCATCGCAGCTCCCTGGAAAAAAGGACTCGCGACCTTCTTCCTTTCCTACCTCTATCCACGGGAGACATTGTAGGTTCGAAACTTTGGCCGTTAACCCACATTCACAGAACCAAAGAGGAGAGAGGATGAGTGAGTCAGAGGAGCGAGAGGTCATGATAATAACAGGTTCCCAATGTTTGAGGAGTTCCAAGATTTTCTGCTGTTCCACAGTGGCTGCAGAAACGGGGGCCGCTAGATACTCTGGAACCCTTGAAACGCATCCTGAATCAATCTTATCATAACATCATTCCGGTTAAGGGCTTGACGACTTCTGACGTCCCTCGGCTCGTGCCAGAGCGGCCGCGGTTTGCTCCAGCTTTCATTTAACATCTCCAAATATACTTGGACTTGCTCAGATCTACTTCGATTTACCTCGGTGTATTTCTATGCGCCTGGAAATCCATGGTTCGATCCCCACAAGCCGATTGGCGAAAAGTTGTCAAGGCCTTAGGGACATTCCCGTGTTCGAGGAGGATGAGGGGAGGGCTGGCGAAGCTCGAGGAAGGATGGGGGCTTCGAGGGTCTCGCCTGGCCGCCCGCTCTGCTTCCACTGCCGGGGGCATGTTTTCCTTGAAGGACGTGCCCCTCCGATCGTGCATTCGTGGAGGAGTGGTGGGCTCGAACATGGGGAGGAATGCGAGGACGAGTTCGCCTCTTCCTCCACCCCCCCACCCTTTTTTCCAGACCTGCGAGGAAGCCCTTAACGCCACCCCCCACTGAATCTAGTAGTTACTGGGCGCACCCAGAACGAAACACACCCGAATCCTTCAACACTTTCCCCCCCCCCCTGCCCATCCTGCCTTCCCTCTCCTTGTTTTCTCCCCCTCGAAGCCGTGCGATGAATCCTATCTGAATCCTCCAGGAATGCTCCAACTCTTCTTCGCAAGAAGTCAGAACACACCAGGCAGGCAAGAATTCGTAAGCAATCACACTCGTAGGCTCCCAAGAAATTCTGCAAGCACGAGAGCGTGTGCGCAAGAAGCCGAGGAAGCAAAACAGCAAGCACGTAGGCAAGCACCCAAGCACGCTTGCAAGCAGGCGTAGCAGACAAACTTATACTCAAGTTGCTTGTGGAGTGCAGTTCGCCCTTCCCATCTGCTCGTCCTCATCCCGTGTCGTCCTCCGCTTGGTTGTTCCGATTCGCTTTTCATATTTGGACGTGGGACAGCCTCGCTGGGCGGTCTCGCCTGGGGGCCTCGATGGGAGCGTGCGGAAGGGGGCAGTATAGCCTTGGAAAAATAACAGACTGACGAGAAAACGGGGAGGAGTAGCAGGCGCTGCATGTTCTCCGAGGTTTCTAACGGGTTCTTCGGGAGGCCTTGGAAGCTCCAGGTGGACAGAGGAGCAGGTAGGGGGAGGATGAGGAGGAGCAGGAGAAAGTCGGAGGGAAGGATGTGCAGGTTGAGGTGTGGGAGAGGATGATCTTCGGGCAACCTTACTGGTTCTAGTCGTTGCTTGGGGAGCTGGAGGGAGAAAGTCTGAGGGAAGGATGTGCAGGTTGAGGTGTGGGAGAGGATGATATTCGGGCACCCTTACTGGTTCTAGTCGTTTCTTGGGGAGCTGGAGGGAGTAGTTTGGGATTGGTGCAGCTCGCTTTTTTGGTCATATGATTTCAGGTAGCTCTGGGGAGTTTGTGGTTGAGAACGAGGAGGGGTTGGACAGATAATCATAGGTGCAGATAGGGAAAGGGCCCATTTCTTGCGCACTGGAAGGGGGGGCATTCTTCTCACGATCTCTGTCTCCCTCGCTCTCGTTCTATTTCTCTGTCTGCAAAATTCTGTCGCGTCACAGTTCTCCCCCTCCCGGCGGCCCCCTCGTGGGTAGAGGCGAAGCGGTGGGGTGGAAGGTGTGGGCGGATGCACTTGGGACATTCCATTGCCGAAGCTGCCCAGAGATCCCCGCGTGGCAGGTGAAATTGCACACAAAATGGCACCTGGGACAGTTACGAGGCCCCCTCCTCGCCTCTCACGCAGGGCGAGACATTTTGAGTCCTCGCCTGCCGGAGGATTTGCCCATCGCCAGCGCACAGGCGTGCAACATCGGAAGACAACCGCGCGGGTGGCCGTCCTATGTTTGCCCGAAGCCGCCGCAGGCACTTGGCGGCGATCGCAGGCCTCAGGAGCCGCAGGGAAAAGCTTCTTCCACGCCGTACCGTCTGTTCGTGCGAGAAGCCGCCGGCTCGACCGCCTCACCGGGGGTCACGAAAGTTGTGCCACGGGAAAGTGCGAAGAGAACCAGCAACTCAGGAGTGATGGGCCTGTTTTCCACTACCACCACCAGACGTTGGAGGGGGAGGGGGTCCTCCTCCTCCACCTCCTGCACCTCCTCCTCCTCCTCCTCCTCCTCCTCCTCCTCCTCCTCCTCCTCATCGTCCTCCTCCTCCTCGTCCTTCTCCTCCCCCCCCCTTCCAACTTATGGTGGTGGTGGTGGAAAACAGGCCCATCAAGGAGCACTGGACTTCGCCTGACCAGTTTGGGACGCAGTCCGCGCCAAGTCCAAGCACAGCCAGCTGCCTTGGGCCGCCAGTGCAGCTAGCAGCTTAGCCAGCCAGACAGGCCGAGCAAGACCTCCTGCACGCACGCGGTGAGGGCCTCGCTCGGTGCCGCCAGGGAGCAGGGCCTCAGAAGCTTCACAGTACAGATCGATCATCTTCACCATTGGGGCGCTCCGCCTGTAGTCTTCCCTTGTTGCTACTCAACTTCAACTCCTACGCTGCAACCTCTGCTCCCCCTCTTACCCCTCCTCCCCCTCCTTCTCCTCCTCATCATCATCATCATCATCCCTGCTCCTCCTCATCCTCATCCTACTCCTCATCCCTCCTCCTCCCCCTCCTTCCTCCTCCTCCTCCTCCTCCTCCTCCTCCTCATCCTCCTCCTCTACAACTCTGCTACAACCCGCTGGATTAACAAGTGCTGACCGCGGGGATCGAGGAAGAGATATGGCTGGCCTCCATTTCGTCCGCGGGGACTCGGGACAGTGCCCGACTGCACGCTGATGCGGGAGCTCTCCCGATGCAGCTTTCACCCTCTAGAGCATCGGCGGTGGCCAAGAGGGGGGTGATGAGGAGGGGGGGCATCATGGCGAGGGCTACGACCTCCCCAGATTTCATGACGCCTCTTTTTATCTCAAGACATCCCCGACCCCCCCCCTGGACCGCGCACATGCGGCCGGCCACGATCTGCGCCCCCCCTCTTGGACGCCCCTCCTCCTGGCGGCCCCCGAAAGTATCATGAAGGCCACGTTGGACCCACAGCAGAAGGGCGTTGTCCGCCCGATGCTTCCTCGGGCATCGCGTCCATCGCTTCCCACCTTCGGTCAGAAACTTTAGCATGCCATCGTGAAGTGGCCATTCGCTCGGGACGTCCCTGCAAAAAGCTTCCGGTTGCCTGTCATGCGGCCTGAGAGCGGCGATTTCGCTCGGGACGTGTTTAGAGAAGGTTTCTAGGCGCTGTCCATGCCGCCCTCGCGGAGTGCCGATCACATTTTTTTGTATGCAGGGGGTGGTAGGCACCTCTTCCTACGAATTGACGGTCAGCTTCCGAGGTCATTCGTGCACTCACCATCGCGGGGTGGAGGGGCGCACATGTGCGCATATCTACACTTACACATTTCTTCGTGCTGATTTTTTCGCACACAGGATTTCAAAGTTGTTGTTTCTGATATGTGTTCCAATTTGATCGTTTCCGGTCCTTCAAATGGTGCTCCCGCTCCAGCGTTGGCCTTATTTCGTGTTTCTGAACCTTCAAAATCGCACTTCCGCTGCAGCGTCAGTTTCATTTCCAAGTTTTCGGTTCATCAAAAGGTGCTCCCACTGCAGCGCTCGTTAGCGCTGGTCCCACAGTTCGGCTGTTTCGGTATTTCCGAACGGTGCTCACATTGCAGCTCTGGCCTCATTTCCACGTTTCCGGTTCTTCCAGATGTGTTGCTCCCGTTACAGTGCTGGCCTCATCTCCAAAATGTCGGTTCTCCAGCATGACTTTCCAGCTGCACCGTTCATGCAGCAATGAGATGCGATGCTATGTTTGGTTATGTTCGGCTATTATGACATGCCTGGCCCTGCTTTGCAATGCTGTGATCTGCAACGCTGGGCTACGCAATGCCATGCTACGAAATGCTATGTGGTGTACCGCTATGCTATGCCATGCCTTGCGCTGCAATGCTACGAGATACAATGCTTGACCACACAATGCGATGCCATGCGATGCATCGCGTTCTATTTGGGGATCGGTGCCCCCTTCGGTATCCAACTTTGCGGTTACAGGGACTGGACGCAATGGTGAGGGATGGGAGAGAGGGGTAGGACGTCAGATATGACGCGAGCGCACCTAGCTTGTCCTCCCCCCTCTCCTCCGCTGCAGGCAGGGGTTGGTCGGACTCTCGAGTCCTGGCTGCTTCACTTTCCAGACCCGGGCTGGCTTGAATGCAATTTCCCACTGTGGAGGTTGGGACGCTCGGGAAAAAGCATGTGCGCAGATCTCTTCGTGGGCGAAAAATATATCCGCATCCGCGGCCTCACGGGCGGGGCCCCTGGGCCGCGACCCCGCGGATACGGGGCGTTTCTTCGCGAACGCCCCGCGGAGAGCGTATCCGTTCCACCGCGTAGCTCTTTGGTTACGCGCAGGAGCGACCCTTCGCCAGAGTGACCTGTGGTGTGGGTCCACAGAGGGTCCCTCCAGCACTGGCAGGCGCGCGTGGCCGGCATCCGCAGGCGAGGGTGCGGATGCAGATCTTCCCGCCGCTCGTGCGCGCGCCTCTCTGCCTGCCCCGGAGCGCTGCGGGGGGCCCCCCTGCCCAGGCCCTCCCCGACCGCCGCGCGCGCAGGAGCTCTGAGCGGGCGGGTACCGCGCCGCGGGCCAGGGCTCGGCGCTGCTCCGGGTCGGCGCTGCCAGGCGCCCAGCGGACCCTATCGGCCTCGCTCGGCGGCGTAATCCGAGCCCCACCCCTCGGGTGCTGCGAGAAGTGCCCCTGGCCCAAGGTGCCCCGCAGGGCTTCCAAGGAGGCCCCACGGCCTCCAGAGCACCCCTCGCGAGGCCCATGGGAGCCCGAGGGGCTCCAACATGGGAAGGAGAAGCTGGGGCACCTCGGGCGAGGGGCACTTGCAGCAACGCCCGAACCCTCGCCGATGAACGATTCAGGCAACTCGAAGGGCGGCGGGGGCAGGGTTCGGAATTCGTCGAACACGCGGCGGAATCCGAACCCCACCCCCGCCTCCCATCGCTGCAGGAGAATCGATCGTTGGCGGGGGTAGGGCTCGGATGTCGCCACCTACTCGCGCGCGCATGTGCGCCGACGCGGTCGAGCCCGCGGCGCTGTTACCGATCAGCGCTGGCAGGCATCCGCCGATCGGCGGACCGACGACCGGTGGACCATAGACCTAGCACGCGCGGGCGCGCCGAAAATCGAGGCCGGGGGGGGAGAAGGGTGATGGAAGCTTGCAACCTGGGCGTTCTCAGAGGCCGTGATACTGATAGGTTCCCAGATTTTTGGTGTTTCAGGGCCAGAGCACATGGGGTCGGGGGGTCGCGCCGCATCTCCGGTGCAGGGGCGATGCGGATGGATCTGGAGTCACTCTCCTCGTTGTGAAGTCGCGGCGGTGCGGCGCGATTCCCGACCCCATCCGATCCCCGAGTCACGCGTGCAAAAGATTCGATAGAAGAGTTGGGGCGTTCGTGTCTCGTGCCGCCAGGGTTCAAAATTTGCCACAAACAAAAAATATCGGGACGACTTTTTACGAGTTCTGACTATTTGGGATTGTTTTGAGCATTTTGGGGGAATTCTTTACTTTGCCGTCCAATACCCCCCCTGTAGGCGGACATGCCCGACCTGACGCCAGGAGAGCTTCCCGCCCCAGCTTGCTCGGCCTCCTGTGGGACGCCGTGGTCTGGGGCGTGGGCCGCCCGCCCGGCGCCGTGGTCTGGTGCCGACGGGGCCGCCTGCTGCCACAGGTGGCGGGGCGCAGGTGATCTGCTGCCGGGTGGTGCCGGGAAGCTCTCCCCCCAGGCGTTAAGTCGAGCCCGTCCCTCCGCAGGGGGGATATCAAGAGTAGTAAAAGATAGTCGGGGGATTCTGTTTTGCCTATGTTTGATCGTTGTTTATGCTTTTTGTGACTATGTCTTGTTCTTCGTCCATAATTCGCCTGTAGGGGGACATGCCCGACCGAACCCCAGTGGCCGTCAGGGAAAGGCTCAAAAGATGACAGGCCGTTGTTTTTTTGGGTGGGGGGCAGCCCTTGGGTCGGCTGTGCAATCCGAACCCTGCCCTCGCCGATGGAAGATTCAGGCAACTCGATGGGCAGCGGGTGTAGGGTTCGGAATGTGTGGAACATGTGGCGAAATGCGAACCCTACCCGGGCCTCTTCCATCGATTCGATAGTTGGCGGGGGATGGTTCGGATGTCGCCCTCTAACGTGTTGGGGCACTGGTGGTGTTCAGATGAGGTCGTGCTACACTGTAAGACGCTTGCCCATGTTCTGCATAGTTCGTGCACCACGTCCCGTCTTACAAGGGGGCGGGGTGTTTGTCGGGCATTGTTGTGAGAGAGCGTCTGTTGGCAAGCACGACAGGGTCTACGGTCTACTGGTGCAGGCCCTGCCCGCGCAACTTGGACACCCGCGTGATAATGCCATCCTCAGATCGCGGCTTCATTGAAACAAATACAGGACGCCGCGTGCAAAGTGCGTCGCACGCATGAAAGGCGCCTTGCGATGCAAGGCGCCCAAAGAGTTCTTCACGGCCTAGCGGGTGGCGTAGGAGAAGAGTGATTGACGTGATGGGTTTGAGTGATACATGCTGCCCACAGCCGAGTCCTTCTCTTCCTACCTCCTCGCCCTTCATCCTATTCGGTAGGTCTGCGCGCGCAATGAGTCATCCCATCGCAGAATGGTGCCAAAAGGTTGATGCTTTACTCCTCCACTGCCTCTGCTGTCCCTTCCTGGGGGGGGTCCTGAAGGCCTCCTCTTGGCGTTATATCGGGGCCTGTTTGATGGGCCTCTTGCTTTGTTGCGGGCGTCACGGGGGGCTTCCAGAGGCTTTTGTTTTTCTGAGTTTCTTGAGAACTTGAGGGCATGTTCGGGGCCCTGGAGGCCACCCTGGAGGGAAAGGCCCCAAAGGCTTGCTCGAGTTCCCTTCCTTGGATTGCTCTTGGGGCCATCTTGGCGTCTTGAAAGCCCCGGCTGGCCGCCTTTCAAGCCATATTGGGGCTCTGATGGAGGCTTGATGTCTACTAGGTCGTCCTGGAGCGATCTTCGAGACCTCTTGGCCCTATTGGGTTCGCGGGAAGCGGGGGGAAAAACAACGGCTTCGCAAACATATCAGAAGTAATACACTTACGGAAACAGCCGCAATTGTTTGGCGCCCCCTCGGAGCCTCCAGGGGGCTTCCTATAGGCCATCTGGGAAGCCGTCTCGGGGCCGCCTGGAGCTGGTTCGGGGGTCGTCGGCAGAGCCACCCAGGTCCCCAGAGATCCTCCGGGACCTTAGGTCGAAGAAGGTATTCCAAAGGGGGGGGGCGGCAGAACGGGGCAAGGCCTCGGGTGGGGCCAGAGGATGGACTTCAATGAATCCTGTTTTGACAGTGGAACTGGACCTGGAAGGGTAAACGCTGGAGGCGCATCACTGGCCGCGCCTTGGGAGCTTGGCAACTGCGAGCACGCCGTGTGAAGCCCGTCTTGGGTACGTCACGGGCAAGTCGAGTCTCGAATGCTTCTTTTGGTTTTTTTTCTGGGGGGCTCTTGGGCCTTTTTCTTGGAGTTGTCGGAGGTTTGTCGTGGACGTGTTGTTGCCTTTTGGGAGGGCGCGGAGGAGGAGAAGGAGGATGAGGAGGGGGATGGAAACGACGACGAACTTTGGACGAGTACGAGCTAACGGACAGGAAACCCGTCGAGGATGAGGATGACATTGGGAAGTGGAGAAGTAACAAATTGTGATTCATAATCGAGGACGCCTACGGCGAATCTCCGCCATTCATTGCATTTGAAGATATGCCAATGTGGCCAAACGTCTGGGAATATGTTGGCCACGTCATTGGACCCTGCGTTCTCCCAGTCGTTGTGGAAGCCGTTTGTGGAACACGTGGGGGAGAAAGAGGAGGAGAGGGAGGGAGAGAGGGAGGACGAGGAGAAGGATAGGGAAGGTTCGTGGGAGCTTCTTGAGTCAAGGCATTTGGGGGGCCTCCTTGGGCCTCTTGCGGGCCTTTGGTTGCTCCGTGGGGGCCTCTTCGGTTGTCTTACGGCGTTCCTGGACCCTCTGACGCCGTCGGCAGCCGCCTTCCGAGGCTTTTTGGGCCGTCTTGGGGCCCTCTCGGGTTGCTTCAGGGTCGTCTTGATGGCCATCTTGGGCGTCTGGGAGGCCTCTTGGGTCGTCGTGGGGCCTTTCGGGGCCGTCTTAGGAGCCTCGTGGGCCGTCCTGGGGCTGTATTGGAGGCCTCTTGGGCGATTTGGGGAAAATCTTAGGGGGCCTCTTGGGCCGTCGGAAGGCCGTTTTGAAGCAAATGCCAGAATCCTCCAACAATCGATGGAAAACCAATGATTTGAACCTCTTCGGACCTTCATTGACGACCTCTTGGATGCTTCTTGGGCTGTCTTGCGGGCCTCTTTGCCGCTTATTTGGCTGTCTTGGCCTCTCTTGGGCCGTCTTAGTGGCCTTAGAGGCATCTTGGGACCGCCTTGGAGGCCATCTTGCGCTCTTTTGGTGCCATTTCGCCCCTCTTGGAGGCAAGCTGGAGGCCATCCGGAGCAATCTTGGTGGCCGTCTGGACGTGATGGGACCAACGGGGACAGAAAGGTCTAAGGCTTTCTGGGTGGCCAGCGGGGGGGGGCCAAACCCCAACGTGAGTTCTCCAGAGGAGAACAAAAAACGTGCCGGACATTCGGCACGTGCACCCGGCCCTGCGGCAAGCCACAGGGGGCGGCCGATGACAGAAATCGCGCGCCTCGTCGCGAGGGGAGAAATAACGAGGGGGAGTTTGAGGTGGTTGGCAGGACCCGAACTGTAGTCGGGAGAAATATAACCAGGCGGAGTGTGACAGGGTTGGCCTCGGCGGCCGCAGATCTAATGACCCGATTTTCGGGCATGTTCGGCCCTAGACGGCGCAAGTCGGCCCCAAGAGCGCCTCATAGGGCCCGAACACGGCCCAGGACAGCTCCAAGAGTGCCCAAGCTGCCTCCACGACGGCCTCAGGGAGGCCCAAGGGAGCCGCAAGACGGTCCGAGAGCGCTCAAAGAGGGCCCAAGATGGCCTTATGACGGCCAACGAGGCCTTCGAGACGCTCCACGGGGCCTTTAAGAAAGTACGCCCAAGGACACATGTTTTATCAGCATAACTGCGTCGTTGGTATTCACCGCGTCCACGACGGCCCAACAGGCCCCGAGGGTCGGCCCAAGACGTCACCAGGGGCCCCCAACACGGCCCCGAGACGGCCCAGGAGGGAGGGTTCTGATACGGCCACAGGCAGCCCCGAGACGAACCACGAGAGGCCCCTGAGGGGCCCAAAAGGTTCCCAAGCGAGACCCAAGAGGTCCACATGAGGTCCCCGAGAGGGCCCCGGAGGGCCACGCGTTGGAACCATCAGAAATCCCTCGCAGCCCAGACGTGAATCTGAAGGGCAGTGCCCTCTGTCGCCAGCCCT